CTAACATTTCTCTCAATATCATTAACAGTATAAAGAAGAACGAGGCAATTAATATAAAAGCGGAAGTCTCGAACATAAATAACTGAAACCAAGTGCGGAAATTCAAATACACCTCTACCCAGATCTGGTGTCACTAACTCACGAACTTCTACTGAATGCTAAATACGAAGTCTGAATAAGAATACAGTACTGTCTGATCCGATACAAGGGAAATCAAACGGAAGACAGGGATAAGAGAGACTCCGGGCCATGCGGACGTCAGCAAGGCTACCTCGGAAATCTCCGGACTGAAGTAAGCTCCCAAGGCTCCTACTGCTGTCCAAAAGCTCCTGCTCCGGTACTATGATCTGTGCAAAAAGCACAGAAGTGTAGTATCAGCACAACCGACCCCATGTGCTGGTAAGTGCCTGGCCTAACCCCGGCGAGGTAGTGACGAGGCTAGACAGGACCTACCAAAAACAACCTGTGCAGATACATATATATACAAAGGCAACAGAAATGACAACAAAGAATATCAACTAAAAAGGGGAAGGGGGCATGCTCGGGGAAAGATACAGCGAACACAGATCAACGGATATAACGACGAAACTATCTCAATACCATAGCTCATTTATAGGTGGTCGGCGCGCCACACGATCCCATTTCTTAATTCATAAGTGGACGGCGTGCCACACGATCCCATTTCATAATATATAAGTGGACGACGTGCCACACGATCCCATTTCATAATATATAAGTGGTCGGCGTGCCACAACGATCCTATTTCATAATAGATATATAAGTGGACGGCGTGCCACACGATCCCATTTCATAATAGATATATAAGTGGACGGCGTGCCACACGATCCCATATCATAGTTCAAAATATCTGGCTTTGTAAAGAAGGCCCCATTAGGGGAATTCGACAACATAACACTTTAACCCGGCAAGGGTACAACTAACAGCCCAAATATCCCGGTAAGGGAGAGTACATAATAATAGTCTACACGTCCCGGCAAGGGAATAATCACAACACATCCTCTTTTAAATCACTTCTCTCTCAACTATCACATTCCTGTTCGAGCCAACGCTCCAAGATATACCAATCACAATTCTTCCTCAACCGTTCACATTATATGAAATTTATCAATTAAACAAGGAAGTTGTGTCACATCATTCGAATTAAAAGCAATTAAGACTCACGGTCATGCTAGACTCTGGTGCATAGACAACCGTCACCATGCCTATACACCGTACTCCACATTTAGCAAGTAGCAAATAACATCCTAATCCTATTCCCTCAAGCCAAAGTTAGGACAAACACTTGCCTCGGATGCTCCAAACTCAACTCAATCCTCTAATGTAGCTTTACCCCTCGAATCCACCACCAAACCGCTCGAATCTAATCACAAATTACTTGAATGTATTAACAAATGCTACTTGAATCAATTTGAATGTATGAAAAATGAAGTTTCCCAAAGTTTGTTCAAAAATTTTCCAAAATGTCCCCGGACCCACGTGGTCAAAACCCGAGGTTCGAACCAAAACCCGACTACCCATTCCCCCATGAACTCAAATATATAAGTTATTTTGAAATCGGACCTCAAATTGAGGTCCAAAACCCCCAAATTTAGGAACCCTAGTTCTACCCTAAATTCCCAAATTTCTCCATTAAAATCTTTGTTTTGAAGTTGAAATTATGTTTAAAGATGTTAAGGAGTAAAGAAAATAAGTTAGGAATCACTTACCAATCGTTTTGAAGAAGTAGAATCGTTTGGAAAATCGCCTCTTATGTTTTGGGTTTTGAAAAAGTGAAAAATGACTGAAAATCCCGACTTTATATACTGCACTGGAGACCCGGCGCGGACCGCACAAAAATGTCCCGCGGCCGCACCGAGGAAGGAGGGAAAAATGACTCTCTGAACCTACCCAGCACGGACCGCACTGATTTGGTGCGCGGGCCGCGCTGGATGGAATGGACCAAAATTCTCATTCTCTGAATCTCCCAGCGCGGACCGCGCTGATATGGCACGCGGCCGCGCTGGGCGACCTAGGAATACTGGCCCTCTGAACCTAGCCACGCGGACCGCGCAGAAATGCACCGCGGTCGCGCGGCTTCCAGCGCGCGCGGAAATGACCGCGGCCACGCTGGGGGCCGACAACACCTGGACCTGCAAATTTCTGACACTTCTAAGCCTAAGACCTCCCGGGACCTACTCAAAACTCACCCGAGCCCTTGGGGCTCCAAACCGAACATACATATAAACTCAAAAACATCCTACGGACTCATCCGTGCGATCAAATCGCCAAAACAACATCGAATTAGGCCTCAAGACCCATGATTCCTTCCAATTTCCATGTAACATCAAATTTACTGCTTCTAGCTCAAAACACGTCAATGACGTCCAAATCTAACCAAACTTCACAGCAATTGCTTAACTCATATTTAAGACTTGTGCCGGGCGTCGGAACCAAATACGAGCCCAACAGCACAGTCTTCTAAACAAATAACACTTTCCAATTCTTTACTTATTATCAGAAAACAATTTCACGCATTAATTCATTTCCTTGGACTCGGAACCTCGGAATTTGATTCCGGGCACACCCCCAAGTCTCATATTTTCCTACGGACCCTCCGGGACTGTCGAATCACGAGTCCGGGTCCGTTTGCCCAAAACGTTGACCGAAGTCAAACTTAATCAATGAAAACATCAAAATTTTTATTATCTTTCTCACAAATTCATATATATATACGTTCCGGCTACGCGTCCGGACTGCGCACACAAATTCGAAGCAACCCCCAAGTGAGGTTTTCACGGCCTCAGAGATACGGAGTGAGTAGGAATACAGGTGATGACCCTTCGGGTCGTCACATTTATGCCCCTAAAAATAAAATTATTTCTTCAAAAAAAATCATACAGGATAAAATTGTATTTTTAATTCAATCAAACATGTTTACTAGAATTTCGGACGATCAGCTCATTAAAACGTTTCTGAGTCAAACTAAGTATGATGAGATTTCTATGAGAAGGACATTACAGTAAGTATATTCAATTTCATAAAGGTTTCATATTCAATAATAAATATTTAATTCCATCAAGGATTCATCTTGAATAAAATTGGTGTGCTCTAAATGGAATATATGAGCCTCCAAGTTGTAGTAGCAACACTTGTGTTCCTGGTGTCTTCCAAGTAAAACTTACAATGATTTTGGAACTTTTGTTGGTTTATAAGTTAGCATTATTTTGGAACAACAAAATATAGTCCTGTCAATTTTAGATAAAAATTAAAATTATAAAATAAACCCGATAATGCAATTTCTGTCTAAGATGATGATGTGGGTTGGATGTCGATTTCATATTTTTGAGGTTTCATCATATCGATTTTGTGACATGAGTGTACTGGCCAAAGAACATAAAAAATAATGCCACAACGTAAATGGAACAACAAAAGAACATAAAAAATTAATGCCAAAAAAGCTACAAATGACTAAGTGACTTCCTATCTTTGGTTTCTTTGTTATTAATATATTTTTATAAATACGATTTTCATGTATTTGAATCATTAAAGCTTAACTAAATCAAAGAAGATCATTGAACTAGAGAAATAGTATTAAGTATTATTATATTCTTTAAGTGATTTTATAACTTTTTTTTTTTTGATAATGTTTACCCTCGAATCCGGATAACAATTGAATTTATATGGGGTTTTAAGGATCCGTGAACTAAAAGATACAAAAGGCTTTTAGGTTGAGGAAAATAAAGATAAAGACTCAACAATTGCTGTTAAAGTAAATAATCGCAGAATATAATATTGCTTAGAACAATTGTGCTTCATGCCCCACAAGAATTTAGAGAGATACCCATTTATACATTCTGATTAAGGGTAAAAATAAGGTAGGTAAATTGATTACATCGTGGATCCCTGTAATTACGCCTTAATGGCCTGAAGTGGTTGAGAAAATCACGTTTGGGCGAGATATCCGGCGACGCTTGGTTATCCGTTACGAGCCCGGCTTCCGACCTTGTGTGTTTCTCCATCCGGTGGTGATTCCTTTCGAGCTCTGTAACGGTCTCGAAATGACTCGACCTCGGTTGTAGACGTGGCCGTCGTTCTACCTTGCATCCAGGTCGGGTTCGATGGCCCCGACTTGCTCCGGACCGGATCCAACCCGGTCGGGCTCAAGCAAAAAAAAGGGTATCACCCAATACAGATAACTAGGGATAATATATATTAAAACTTACGGAATATTGTCGTTTACATCAGTCAAAATAGAAATAGCCTTTAGGACATTGGTATTGCCCACGTCGGCGGGCATATAGCATACATCAAAACTAATGTTCTTAACAATATAAACATGTGCCACCCTATCTGTTTCAAGATTATTTATAACAAAAGGGGGTGGTGTCGCTAGTAGTTGATAAGTAGCTGCTTGATTGAGTGCATGCCGTGCCATTTTGTGTGCCACTTTGTTGTCTTCTCTGAAGTTATGGATGATCGATGGCTCCTTCAGCTGGTGCATTAGATTTTGTAACTTTAATCACATAGTTGTATGATTTCATAATATTTAGTTCTATTTTTTTCTATTATTGTGCAAAAATATTGCTAAATTAGTTGGTTTGGATTGTATACAATATTCCTTTTTCTTTAAGGAACTGATTATTGAATTTTTTACATATTAACCTTCGTACATATTCAGTTGCAATTAATTTTAGAATATTTATGCAATTGAAAGTTTATATTTTTTGTATGTGCATAATATTAACCTAAGATATTCGTGTATTGCACGAATGTAGAGACTAGTAATATGAAAAGTTACAAACCTGCCAATATTTCCAATAAAAGCAAGTCTAATCGAAAGCCCAAAACCCATATATTACCGGTTTCAGAAATCTTGACAAAGTAGTCTTCGTAGCTTTTTGGGTTAAAGAAAAACTCTTTTTGTTGTCTAATCTCCTATAAATTCTAATGGTCCACCCATTATTAATTTGCTTAATAACACTCTATATTAACAAAACCACAAAACTGAAACGCACTCTAAAATCAAGTCATAATCCCATTATCCGTGGGTCACTCTCTTGCTTTTTCCCACGATCTTCACTTCATCAGCAGACACAACAATATTAACAACTACTCCCCTGTTTCTCTCTCTCTTTACACAACCCACGTTCTTTCCCCCATTAAACCCCATTACTCACTCCATCAAATTCTAACTCTAACATACCCTTTTGTAACAGTAGTTTTGAGTTAAAAGTTTGGAAAAGAAAAGGACAGAGAGATGAGAGGAGGAGATATAGAAAGTAGGGGAGACAAAGACAGGGGAAGGAATTATGCTTCCTCGTATGCAGTTGAAGATCACAGAGATACGACATGGATTTCTTGGTTGATCCCTTTGTTTGTGGTGGCTAACGTTGTTATGTTCGTTGTTGTCATGTATTTTAACAATTGCCCTAAGCATGATAATTCGGGCTGTGTCGCTAGGTTTCTTGGAAGGTTTTCTTTCCAGCCGTTAAGAGAAAATCCTCTCTTTGGTCCTTCTTCTTCAACGTAAGTACCAATTTTGTTTTTTTTAATACCCCATGTTGCGATTTCTGTAAATTTATGTATTCTTGAGATGATTTGAGACCTTTTTATTGGTTAAAGTTTGTGTCTTTAACTTGTTTACTATACGATTAAGCAGGTGGACATACCATTCCTAGCTGTATTTGGTCTGTTTATAGGATTTTCTTTTCAGTTACTGTTTCTTGTGTTTTCAACCCAGGAGCTTTCACAATTGCTTTAGGGTTGGCTTCAATATGATATATTTCTTGAATATTTGTGCAGTTTTTGTTTAACTTCCCATTACCTGGTTGAAGTACCTGCTGTGTGGGACTTTTCTCGCTTTGAATTAGGCAATGTGAAATTTGACGTGACTAGTGAGCAGTTTCCTTCTGTTTAACATTGGGCATGTCACATGCACCAGTTCCTCTACATGGCCCATAAAATTTTAGTTACATCTTCATGGACCAGGAAATTTGTTTGTTATTTTTATCAACTTTTGTTTGATTGATTAAGTACTTTCATTTAGTTATTTCCACTTGTTACGACTTTGAGTTCAATCAGCCCAAAGATTGCACTGATATATTAAGTCAGCTATACATTTATCCTAAACTGGTCAGCTAATAGATACAGAGGATTGGAATCATCACAGACTCAGTGGCAGACGGAGGCAGGATTTCCATTAAGGGGTTTCAAAAAAAAAAAGTTAAAAAATTAAAAGAGATTGTAGCTAGTGGGAATTGAACCAATTACCTCACCAAGGTTTTGAACCCCCTTGACCACTAAGCTATGCTTTTAGGCTGCGTCAAGGGGATTCAAAACATAATATATAGGTAAAAAACAGATTTTGCTTTATATATATAGTGTAATTTTTAATCCGCCCCAGATCACAGTTTGACAATTTTTACACTGATTGTCAACCTACTCCTGTGCTTTCTAAATAGCGGAATCAGAGAGTTAACTAACATCCAGCAAACTGCAGACTATTAAGGGTATACACTTCTTTTCTTATACAATTCTTGAAGAAACTTATTATGGGGTCCTTCCTCCAATTTGAGTGCACCTGGAGGGATTTATCCCTACTCTTTATTTGCATGCCTCAAGTTGGTGCATGCAAAGACTTCTCCCTTACTGACTAGAGCAAATTTTGACAAGGCATCAGTGTTTCTAGCTATTTAAGGTTTTACTTTCTACATCTATGTTTCTGGTTTCTTGAGTTGGTGCCTTTGGATGTGATTCTTTTTCTCCTCTTTGTTTAAGAAATTATCATATAAACAAAGTTTAAAGTGTTTCTACCCGAAATATAAATTGTTATATTAGGATGGAGAAATGCCTTAGGTAAAATATATGTTTTGTTCTTGCTGAAGGTTACAGAGACTGGGCGCTCTTGAGTGGAAGAAAGTGGTCCGTCAGCATCAAGGATGGAGACTTATCACATGTATCTGGTTACATGCTGGTGTTATTCATCTGATTGCAAATATGTTGAGTCTTGTAATTATTGGCATACGCCTTGAACAACAATGTGGCTTTGGTATGTTATATGTTATGCTCTTCTTAGTTTTTGGATTTTCCCTCTCATTTTTTCGTTTTTATACTGAATTATTTCACTTACCTCTTGAAATGCAATTAAATACTTAGTTAAAGCTGATCTTTTCTTTGCAGTGCGCATTGGAATTATATACTTATTTTCAGGTGTTGGTGGGAGCATACTTTCTTCCTTGTTTATTCAGAGGAGCATCTCTGTTGGTGCTTCAGGGGCACTCTTTGGCCTACTTGGCGCTATGCTTTCGGAGCTTATCACGAACTGGTCAATATACACAAACAAGGTTTGTAATGCTACTCAATTGTTTCCAAAACAATGTTACAGGAATCAGTTTCTTATAAAAGGTTCAGATAGTGTTGCTATTAGAAACTACAGGGTGGAATGATACGTCGCGCCATTTCTACTTATCATCCTTTTGATATTTCCTATAGGTTTGTGCACTCTTAACGCTTTTGGTGATAGTTGTGATCAACCTAGCAGTTGGAATCTTGCCTCATGTGGATAATTTTGCTCACATTGGTGGATTCTTGACTGGATTTCTCCTTGGCTTTGTTCTGCTTCCACGCCCTCAACTAGGGTGGATGGAACGTCGGAATCGTCCAGCTGGTGTTCGTGTGAATTCCAAATACAAGGGTTACCAATACGTATTGGGCCTACTTTCTTTGATGCTGCTGGTAGCAGGGTTAGTCTTGACACTCTACTTTGTCTCTACAAGTAGTATTATGAGTATATACAGTTACTATTTGTCATACTTTTTTTTTCAATCTGAAAGAAAATCAGATGCCCCTGATCAGATTATCTGTTTGTGCTTCAAAATGCAGGTTTATTGTCGGGCTGGTGATGCTATTCCGAGGGGTTAATGGATATGATCATTGTCACTGGTGTCACTACCTTAGCTGTGTTCCCACCTCTAAATGGAAGTGTGATGGAAATTAGAGATGATTGCAGAATTTGGCTTGAAGAGTTTTCCACTTTGGCCTGTAAAGCAGTCATTAGATCATTATTTCTTTTAGCATGTTTTCCTCTTTCTAGTTTTTAGCACTAGATATCAAGATTAGTTCGTGTCATCATTTTACGGTTTCCCCCTCACTAAACAGACAGATTCTCATTAGATAATTCTTGTCGATAATTTTGCCTTGGATAAATTTAGATGGTTTTTGAAGCATTTTTGCCTTTACTTCTATATTTTCTTACTGCTGAGATGAAAAGAGCCCGATGCACGAAGCATTTTGCGTTGGTCTGGAGAAGGGTCATACCCCAAGGGTGTGTGATGTAGGCAGCTTACCGTGATACAAGCATCAGTGGCTTATTGCACGGTTCGAAATGAAAAGAAGGAAATGAACAGAACAAAGAGAAGAAAAAATGAAGTACTAAGGCCTAGGACTAAATGTTTACTTACATATGGAACAACCCTTGAGAGTCCAGTGTTGAATGCATGTTAGACCTGACTACTGAGTCATGCAACCTGGATGAAATGGTCACACGCTCACCATTATACAACAATCACACTAATATTTATTTTGGACACCAGTAGAAGAGATTTTACCGTGTCACTTGGAAAAATTTTCAGGAGGTAAAACTAGAGAATTGGAGGAAATGGCAAGAGAGAAATCTGTAATGTGTATGGTGATGGTTTTGGGGGTTGCCTCAATAATTCGGGGCACTGGTGCTGCTGAAGAATGTAGCACAGTGACAGCACTGGTAGCAGCATGCTCCAGCTTTGTGAACTATGGCACACCAGATCCGACACCAGGTGCGCCATGCTGCGTTGCTATGACGACCCTAAGCAACATAGCTAGCTCCACCGAGATGCGCCAGGCCGTCTGTAGATGTGTTATGGACCTTATTACTACTTACAACCCAAATGCTACTGCCATTGCCACTTTGCCTGGTTTCTGTGGTGTTTCTCTTGGTTTCACCATTGACCCTAACACTGACTGTGAATAGTAAGACAACCATAAGTTACTTATCTCCTATTATTTCATAGTTATTTTGTTTGTTGGTTTAGCCATCCGATATTCAAGGTCCACTGACCCTATTAATCGGGATTTGCTCTGGTTAAAGAACTCCCTACCAAGAAGTTCTCTACTTAAGCATGACCACCACACACCTTGGTGGTTAATATTTCATAGTTTTATCACAATGTCTGATCAATCTTTTCTTTTCTCTTTGCAGTGTCTCTTAACTAAGTGGTCTCTGGAAAGTGATGCTGAAGAATGAATTACACTTACCTTCACCCTAATCAAGGAGAGCAACCTTACTAGAGCAGTTTGTATTTTGTTTTTAATATGCTGAAAATGTTGTTCTTTCCTTTTTTTTTCTTCCCTTCTATAGATAGAGGAGATAGTAGCACGTAATGACACACATATTGCTAAAGGACTCTACCTTTGCTTTCTTATTCTTGTTAACTAGAAATGAACTTTCACGAGCTAAGTAAAAGCATCTAGCCTATCTTACCCCGCCTATTCTATTACAAGGGAAACTAAACAAAGATCAGTCTTCTTTGCTGAGTAGAATGATGTGACTAACACGTAGACTGTTCAACATTGACTCACAGCAGGCTATGCAATGCATGACACACAAGAAATTCTACAACAACTAAAAAATAGCAAAAGGAGAAAACATTACATGAAGCTGAAAAGCAAAAAGAAAGGAAATGACAAAAGTTAGTACTCTACTTACTCGGAATAAAAATTTGTCTTGTCTCGTAAGCTACGGAGAAAGTAAAAAGGCCGCAACCCACTAGTTTAACTTTTTCGCTACTCCTTACTTGCCGTAAAAATTGCGCGGGGCGTCCTATTAGGTCCCCCCATTTAACCTATGCCCATTTTTTTAAAAAGTTTTAATTTGTACCCACTTTTTAAACAACTTTAGCCCCTTTCTCCTCCTCCTTCGTTTTCTTCTTCTTCTTCTTTCTTCTTCTTTCTTCTGCTGCTGTTATGAAACTTCAGTTCATGGGATGATTGCCATAAGTATGTTTATCAGATTATTTAAAAGTAAATTATAAATAACTACGTAAGTTAGTAGACAATAATTTGTGAATATTTCCACATACGGGAAGTTTAAGGTCACACTTAGTGATTCTTTTCATGATAATTCTGTTCTTTTCACGTTTATTTGTTTCCAAAATTTTATGATTTAGATACTGTTGGCAATCTGGTTATTTTATAGTAGTCTGATTATAACAAAATTAATGAACCCAGTACAAAAAAACTTCAGCTTATTCAGTGCTGAAGTTTTTACAAATGAACTAAATAACTTCAGCATCTTCTTCTGAAGTTTTTGAACAAGCTTTATAACAAAACTAATGAATCCAGGACAAAAAAACTTAAGCTTATTTAGTGCTGAATTTTTATAAATGAACTAAATAACAAAACTAATGAATCTAGGACAAAAATACTTCAGCTTATTTAGTGCAATTACAAATAAAAACTTCAGCAAATAGAGAACAAAACTTCAGCTACTATGCTTAAGTTCAACAAATTACAAACAAAAACTTCAGCAAATAGAGAACAAAACTTCAGCTACTATGCTTAAGTTCAGCAATTACAAACAAAAACTTCAGCAAATAGAGAATAAAACTTCAGCTACTATGCTTAAGTTCAACAATTACAAACAAAAGCTTCAACACACTTACTACTTCAGGCCCGTCTACTAGAATGCTGAAGTTTTGCGTGATTGCCTTTGCTACTTTAGCCCCGTATGCTGAAGTTACGCGAAAAAGTGGGTACGCTTGTAATTTTTTTTGCAAAGCGGGCACAAGTTAAAACGTGACCCATAAAGCAGGTATAGATGCAAATGCCCCTTACTTGCCTCGATCAAAGTATCCATGGGTTCCAATATGTTTGTTAGCACGTCACCATCTTGGGTAAATCCACAAGAAAACATAAGAGAAAAGTAAGAAGTGCAGCTGTATATCCTCTAATAACTTCGGGATCAGCTTCATGTGGGGTTGCTAGGTTCCAAAGGAGTGCCATTTTTACCCAATACCCATTCAAGAGCATGTGAAAATTAGTATTTTTGGCATTTTATTCTTCTTCAACACAGGGGAACCTTGGAGTAACGATAAAGTTATCTCTGTGTGATTTATAACCATGAAACCAGACATTAGTGCTTGTATTGGTAGGATGTCTACATCATAATCCTAGTAGTACGATTCCGAACCCTACGTGAATACTTCGTGCACTGTACTGTCCTACGAGGCTTAGAGCAGTCTCATGGGACCCAAAACATATGGGAAGAAATATTTCACTTTTACTAATGATTGTGCAACCATTTGGGGTCAAAAGTCACCTAATAAAAGGCAGCTTAAAATTAAAGAACTTTAGCGTAGACATGAAAGGTAATCCCTCCGTGAATGCATAGTTCATGTAAGCGAAAATGACTGCAAAACAAAAACTGAATGTGACTATCCTACATTTCTTTTTTCTGCATTACACCGATAAATAGGCAAAAAAAGAAGAAAGGAAAAAACAAGAAAAATCTCTCTTAAATTACTGTATCCATCTTATAGTAACTGTTAGGATTTTAAAATTGAAATGGACTGGATATTTGACAGAAGTAAACAATAAATCAAAAGATGAACAAAAGAATTCCAGCTCAAAAGTAATATATGTTCGACTAAAATGCATATGGAGTTGAGAAGGAAAACCAGTCACGCCGGTTAAGTCAAAAGTGCCTCGGCAACAATATTGTTTTGTTGCTTCATATGCTTAAAAGTTGCTCCTGTCACATTGATAGTGCAAAACTAACATTTTTACAAGTCCACAACTTTCAAGTGACGGTAAAATGGTACATTTTATCAAATGTTGTAACAAGCAACATTAACAAATTAACAGAAGACATACCTAGACAAGCATCAAACAAGATAATTAACTGCAAACCCGTTATTTTTCACTCTACAGACACAAGTCTTGCATCAACTTGGCAAGTACTTACCTCTGGTCACATTGAGACCAAGACTGATTTTTACTAGTATTACAATTTGTACAGCATGACTAAATTGCTTCGCAATTGTCAAAGGAAGCATCTCTACTGTCTCAAGCCGAAGGGGGAGCTGAAACGGACAGCACCTTGATGATCAGGTGTCCCTACTCTGTCTGAGCGACCTGATCCTGGTTTTGCTTTGCTCCTAAAGTTACCAAGTGATCTCCAACTCTTCTCTGAATTTGTATCTGCATCCACAAGTCCATCAACTTGCTTTCTCGAACCAACTTTCTCAAACTGCAATCTTTGCCTGGGTGCGCTATGCGACCTAAGTTTTGCAAGGTATGATTCTGTATTAGACATATAGTTGGGGTGACCTGGGTACTCCCCGAACAAGCTTCTTGAGCACTCGCTCCTCGAAGGAGAAGGGCCTCTTCTACTGCTACTCCCTGGTCTGGACAATGTGGAGTGCACGCCGGGGCTGCGCTCAACAGTCCACGCCGCTGACTGCTCAGTTTCTTGACAAAATGCCAGTGACTTTAAAGATGAAACTTCCCCTGAAGATATACTAGGATTTGGTTTCATATGGTTTGCCAAATGCCTTGATATGGAGTTGACAGTTCTCGTTCCCTGTGCATTATCGTTCCAAGATGAAAAATAATGTGAATTGTGAGAGTTTTTCTCACTTGTTTTGGGGTTTAGGCGAGGTTTCCATGTGTCTATCTCAAGTATCTTGTCAGTGCTCTCATCTTGATCTCCAACACCTTTTTGCAGGGAAATGTCTCCGTAGCCATTTGTTGCACATTCCTCCATCCAGTGATGTATCCACTGGGAAGCCAAATGCGATCTATCCTGACCGTAGCTCTCATGTGCATTCAATTTAGAACCAGATTTCTGCATATAATAACGAAAAAAATTCAGGATGCAACAATGCATGCATGACTGAAATTGGCGGACATCTAACTGAAATGAGTTTTCATGTTGTGTTTAGTTCAGTTATAAGCACAGACATCCACTTATATGGTTGTTAGAATGGCACACTGCGAATGTAGTCATAGCACTTCAGCGTAAATGGTTAGAGTATAAGGTCCCTTTTACTTCTAAGAGCTTCAGACATCTCTGGGAATGTATATGCTTCCGAGGTCTAACCATGTGTGAAGCTTAGAAAGACAAAATAAAATATAAATCAGAATTACTGGAGAGTGGTACCTTCAGGGTTGGCCCATGGTATTTGCAATTGAAAGAATACTGTTGTGGATCATATTTTCTCGGAGTTGCAATGCCCTGCAAATGATTTATGGTTTAGAAGATAAAATGATGACCATACAATACAATCAATGTACAAGTTCAAAATTAATCCATGTCAATAGTTGCTCTGAACAAAATATTTGAGGTAAAGTATTAATCTAAGAATATTCCTGCATGCTACCATGTAAACTTAAAAATATCTTACCAATTGAAGGAGATTAACAAGATTAATTGGTCAAAAGAAACATTCAAAATAACCTAGCTGTTACTGAGCTCATCTCTAAAAAATAATACTTACAGGATGCTCAAATCGTGAAGCTTTGATGCTGGAATAAGGAGGATCTGAAGTTATAGTCCGGTTAGCAGAAGCTCGAGCCTGGATTCGAGCCATGGCTTGCATACGTCGGAGCATATCTGCACTTTGTTTCCTCACAATACGACCTCTGACTAATGCCTGCAGTTTCACTAGTCCTTTCAGTGCCCTCAATGCCCTTCTAGCCTGCAACATGCCCCACAGAACAATAAAGGTTGATTCATCTTAGCTATCATATGTGAATCCAAATTCTATATCACCCAAAAGATATTGCAGTTTCGTTTGATCCCATATCTCAGGTGAGTTGCCTGAGTCTAAAATTGATATGATACTTGAGCACTATATACAACAATAATTAGTTATAGGCTGATAAATGATGTGGAGCAAACAGAAAAACGGCGGAAAGGTTATCAATCTTTTTCTTAAACCATGTTGCATCTGTCCTATTAATTTCATGTAGTAGGTATCATCCAGTGAGAACATGCACCATTTAAAATGAAATTCTCTTAAAGGCAGGTCCAAAGGCGGCTTTATGTTAACTTTTAAGTGTTCGATTAGCACCAATGCGGCTGTATATTGCCAGCATCAGCTGAAGCTGAACTCGCCCTCCTCCTCTCGGACTCCACATATATAACTGAAAATTTTCAAATGTATATAATGCATATTGAACTTGCACCTATAGTCACAAAAGTGTAGTTGTGCAGTGCTACACTGCACCATTGATCTAATTGTAGGATTTGTCTAAATAGAAATCTCTCCAGAAACAAGATTATCGAAAGACTCATCATTATATTCCTCGTCAGATTCTAATATGTCCATGGACATCAGTAATCAGTAATATTTGTTTTTTTAACACCCTCGCCCAACTAAAACTGTCGGCCTAGTGCTACCTCTTATTTTCTTAACGGGAGTGAAATAGGGTAGTTGGGAAGTCCTTTTCCTCAATCTTGGCACCACTTAACCACCTCATAAGTCATAACATACCTGAAGAAGACAAAAATACTATAGCATTGAAAGACACTGATATCTGCTTCAGAAAGGGATAGCAAGATGAGTCACTCTAGTCATTAGCTTAGCTAGTCCAGTACTTCGGTTGACCAAGACATTAGAAGAATCAATTCACTAGAGAAAAACAACTCAAAAGACAGATCTGAAAACTGTAATAAATGGTTCAATAAGGTCCTATTTGGTAGTACTACATAAGATGATTGGAGTCAACAAAATTTCAAAACGCAGTTTTTTCTAGAGTAATTACTAGTACTATCTTTTTCAATGAGCTGTACCTGCCACACCATATTTTCAAAATATCGTTAACGTACAAAAACAATTAAAATACGGCTATTTCTAGCATCACTAAGCATCCTACTTCAGGAAGTGAACAAAACACGTTTTGCCTTTTCCTACACCGTTCCTTTCGGTGTGTTATGTCCGTACCCCGTTTTATTTATTGTAGATAGAATTGTGTCAAGGTAGGTAGGAAACTGAAGTTGTCTAAAATATTAAACAAAACAAACTTCTTTTCTAAACTTAAAATAAACAGCATTATTTCTGTGTTGATACTGTTAAATACTCCTAAAAAAGAAGCAAATTTTCAAACCTTTTTGAAACCCAAAAATGTTTAGCCCAAAAAAACAGAGTGGCAAGAAGATTTGAAAGAAGAATGACAGTGACGTTACAGACAAGAAGGAGTAGATAATTTTGAAACCACACATGCTATCTTTCATTACGATTGCGAAGTCACTATGCAACTTGTCACTTGTCTAGTATCAACTAATTTTCCTAAATTCAGAATTTTAAAATTATTACTATTCCTAAGAAAAAATAAATAAAATTAAGTGAAAACTACTAACCAGGTAAGCTCGAAATTCAGACTGAATTTTAACGGCAGCCCATTCACGGCGGCGGTCAGTGCTGCTACTGACATAAGCCTTTGCGGACCTACTACCGCTTGTCAGCCTAACGACTTCGGCCGCCGCTTGAGCCGCCGCTAAAGCAGCCTCCGCAACCGCCGCAGTGGCTGCTGCCACCGCTATCGCGTGCTTGTTCGCGTCCAACGCTTCAGCGTAGGGTCTCGCGGTTGGCTCTTCAATCCCATAATTAACAATCTCTGCTCCCGCACCTCCGACAATGCTTCTCCCACTACCATTAGATGATTTCCCAAGACCCCACTTCTTACTCTTTGTCTCTTTCGCCGCCGGCGATGATGCCGACGACGGAGATTTCTTGGAGCCCAAAAGCGAACGTAACCATCTGCTGGCTTTACCCATGTATCAGTTCATTTTGCCGAATGATTTGCAAGAGAAACATAAATTACAAGAAGGGAATTGCACAATTTTGCTCGTGAGAGAGTGGTAATGAAGAACACGCGAGGTTAGAGAAGTATGGGCTATGGGCTTGGTTTATAAGGGTGGTTGGAAATTGGGGACCCTTTAAATGTAAAGAGGACGACTTTTGACAGGTAAGAATTGGGTCCTTGTGCTTCTCCAATGGCGCCCACTCTTCGTCCTCACATTACAATATCTCGGCCTTCTCTATACCTTTGTGTTAATACAATATATCTTTTTCATCGTAACGTCGAGAGAATCCTTGTTTGGATCCGCTCTTCTTTTTTTCTTTTCAAATTCCACGTGTATGGCATAATTTTATTTATTTAATGATGGCATATAATTCCTTTTTTTTTTTTGTCGTAATAAGGGAAACAAAATTGAGGGACTGGTCATTATTAGTTATTTTTTTCTTTGTATGTGTAAGTTTGTTCGTGTCGGATCGACATTTTCAATTTCTTATGTTCTCAATCTATTTTGACATGTCTCATGACGTTTGACATTACTATAGAGTTTATTTTATCAGCCTATCATTTGATTATTGTAACTAATGTGGCATTGGAAGTTAATTTAAAATATCTATTTTAGAACTTTTAATAATGAGATTTTTACATTCTTATACACTATTGGAAACTTTATTACCCTCCATACTCAAGTTTTAATCTAATTACATAATATATACAAAATTACCAATTATGTATATTTTTAGGAATTTAACGATAATTAATTAATTCCTAAAATCACCGTAACGTACATATCGCACTCCCCCCACGTTTCTCTCTCCATACCCCCAACGTATCTTGGGTATCTCCCCCCATTAACGTATGTTTTCACTCTTCTTCAAAAATCCCTCTACATTTTTTCACTCTTCTTCAAAAATTCCTCTCTATTTTTATAGATTCCAGCTCTAAATCTCTACCAAAATTGTAGTTGCTTAAATGTTTGCTTAATTTTCAATGAAGAAGAAAACACTCTCGAAGATTAGCCCTAAAAAAGCTAATGTAGGTGATATTCCTACTTTTGATTTGGGTGTTTACTCACAGGATTCGCCCAAAAAAGTTTCAAAATCGGCACATGCAAAAGCAGAGACCAAGCCCAGGCTTTCCCCTCGTGAAGCTAGAGCAGAAGCTCGAACAAAACATAAGCACGATAGGGATGCTGGTGAAGCCTCGTCGTCTGTTAAATCTGTAAAATGGAAGGGCAAAAAAAATTGCTTCCGATGATGATTTCGTCGAAGAAGAAGTTATCACGAAAGTTGCAAAAAAAATCAGAGTTTCTCCAATTGTTAAACCTTCGAATAAGAAGAAGGTTCAAAAATCAGCTAAACTATACCCCAACAGTCATTGGAGAAGGTACAATTTCAGTAGTTTCAATTTTTTTTTTTGTAAAGCTAAAAAATTTGTTCTCATTCTCGTGAACATACATAATTTTTTTTTTTTTTTTTTTTTATATTTGTAGATATTTTGTCTACATTGTGTAGATTTGTTGTAGGTTAATAAATTTTTTACATTTCCCTGTAAATTGTAGATTGCTTGTATATTATTCGAAATCATTTAGTTAGGGAATGTAAATATTTTGTCTACATTATGTAGATTTATTGTGGTTAATTTGTAGTATAAATGTAGTTATTTTGTTTTCTGGTTTTCAAACAAGTTTTATTAACTTGTTGTTTCTTCTGCTGCAGAATCGAAATTTTTTTGCACCACATGATTTTGATTATGGCATCACTAGGTTCCAGACATTATGCGATCCTACTATTCCTGGCCAAATCAAGGATTTACTGTCTGAAAATGGGTTAAAACTGTTTAAGAAGACATGTTTTGGGTATTTTCTTTTCTTGACCAAAATATGTATCCAAAATCAGGCAATTCACATTCTCATGAAGTATGAATTGAACGCATCTGGTTTCAAATTTTTTATAGCAGAGATAAAGGGCTGAATTTTGGGTTGAGAGAGTTTGCCCTGATTAGTGGCCTTAGATGTTTTACAGAAGTGATGGACTTTGGTTATACAACTAAGTATGACAGTAAAATAATGAGAAGCTATTTTCTGAACAAGGAAAAAATTGAGAAGTCAAACTTGAAACAAATTGTAACCAGGCGTAGTTGGGTGAACGATGAGGATGCAGTCAAGATGTGTATTTTCTATCTCATAGAATTCTTCCTCTGTCCTTCAGACAAAGATAATTTAGGTTTGATAGACCATTTTAGGTTCTACTTGGTGGACTCGGGGCAGTATGCGAACTACACATGGAGTATCCAATCTTATACACATTTGCTTGAGTCCGTTTGGCACAAGCTCAACCCTTCTGTGCATTTTATCTCATTTGAGTTTTGCACTAGCTTTTGAAAATATGGTTGTATGAGTGTTGCTCTACAGTCAACACGGATATAGCTACAAGGGTTGCTAATTCGATCCCCCGCATACTTAACTAGACAGCTAGTAAGGACAAGATATGGTTATCTGCATTGGAAGATAGAATAATCAAATCATCATGGATCAAGGTAAATGGTTTTCACTTCTGCGCACACAATTTAATATAAATTATCTACAGAATTAATACATATTTTGACTAGGTCTCTCACATTTTTTTCCACTCAGTTCACCAACATAATTGAAGCACCAGAAGAGCTTTCAAGAATGAATTTGCCAGGTAAAGTTGAATACATCCTTGAAGGAGATGAAACAAAGTCCGAGCATCCGACAGATGCCCCATCTCCATCCAGACATAAGCATACAAGTGGAAAAGATGACAAGAAAGATATTGTGAAACAAATAAAAAAAAAATTAAGAAAAGATGCTGATAAGGTAACATCTATACATAATCCTAGATGGTTTCTTTAATTTATGTTATGCAAACATTTTCGTTAACTCTTTCTATTTTAATATGTAGGTGGGTTCAGAACTTAGAACTTTCAAGAAAGAGGTTTTTAAAGAACTAGGTAGCATTCGACTGCTACTCAATGATTCAATCAAGGCTGTTTTACAGGCGATAAACAGTCAAAAGGATAACATTGATGCTAAGGTTATATTCGAAATATAGTCATTTCAGGCAACAATTTTTACCATGTCTAAGTTTCTATTATCATTCATAAAGTATATAGCCTAACAAATTATGCTTGCAGTTTACTGGCAGTTCTACGAAAAACGATGAGCATTACAAAGAAAAGAACAATCAACACATTTCGGGCAGTAGTGCTAAACCAGTGTTGGCCAACAGTAGTAAAACATGTATCTACATTATCTCTACATTATATCTACATTATATCTACACATAGCCTAAATTACCAATGACTAATCTAAATTATATTTCCAATGGTTTTCTTAGATACAGGACACATGAATGACATTTAAATTGAGGAGAATGTTCTTGTAGGTGTTGATTTATCTTCCCAATTTGAAAAGGCATTTGATGAAGAAAATGCAGGTAGGATTTAGTACATGTTATCATCATATTTCACAATACATTTTGCATATCAGATCCAGGATAATGTTTCAACAAATTTACTACAATTAAACTATAATTTATCTATATTAATGTTAATGTTTACTACAAATTATCTATAATTTAATTAAATTGTACACATTTATTGTAACAGAGAAGGAAACTATGCATGTGGACTCAGGAAGCTAATATTGGCATTCCAGGAGAGCATTTAAATGAGGATAAGGAGACTACAAAAATTCAATATCCCATTCAACAAGAAAACGTTATACAACAAGGAGACGATTTCTGTGAACATTTCAGTGGTATTATATGTTACACTATAATTGTAGAAAAAAAAACAGGTTTTGGCAATTTGTTTCAATTTTCCATAAACAACTAATGCAAAATGTCTTCTTATTCTTTTTTTTTTTTAATTTTGAAGGTGAACCAGAGGACTACATTAATGTAGGTGATTCAGACGACTGCATATCTGAAAAAAGGGAAGTAACACTTGATGATTTTGAGCTGCCAGAGAACTTCTCCCAGATTGTTAAGTTCGGCGAGCTTATCGAAGATGAAACAACCCCTGTGCATCAAGGAAGAATAAGGAAGCCTGGAAAGCATGCCAGATTACCCTTTCTCCCTTTTTACAATTCTGGGGGAGCGCTTGTGTTGGACCTACAATTTTCCTCAAGCATCCATTTACTGGGGTTATTGGCGACGATGTTGATCCTGACTTGTTGGAAGAAATTAATAAGTGATTATACTTTGGTACCGATACGGTTTAAAAAATGTTAGTTTATACAATTTTTCATATTTTTGAGTGCATTCAATTTTTGGATTTCCAGTTGAATCTACATATTTATTATAATTGCTATGTGTTTAAATAGGAGGAAGGCACCTTATTCTATAAAAGATAACCAGCTTAAGCCGTGATATGATCTTGGAGTGGAGAAAATTGATAAAAAGAAGTGGCTTTATACTTTGTACATCCCGAACAAGTCCTCAACGACACGGTAAAAACATACCCCGGCAGAATTTAATGATTAGCTGTAGTATTCTATTATTTAAGCATATTGTAGTTTTTTTGCTTAAAAATTGTAGTTAAATTGTATGAAGCATTGAGAAATAATGAACTCTATTTTTTTTGCAGCACATTGATGTTATTTTATACTATTTGAGGAAGAGAGGAAAGTATGATCCTCAAAATAAAATACGGTTTACAAACTGACTGTATGTTCAAGACTAGAATTGAACAAATTTATCAAAGGTACATTAATGCTCTTGCCGATAAGAAGCTTGCTGTTGTCAAACCCCATGACGTCGTATCAGAATACATATTGAGGTACATGCTACTTGCAAATGTTGCATGGGATTAAGTTGATTTTGTGATTATGCCCATAAACATTGTGGAAAAATTTCATTGGTTGTTGGCTGTGTTTGACATTACCGATAGGGTTCTATATGTTTATGATTCTATGGTCTCTTCACGAAATCACACCCTTGTTGAATCTGTTGTCAACAAGTTTGCTGTTATGATCCCCCTCTACTTGTCATGCACCGGCTTTTATGGCAAGCGTCCAGACATCAACTACAAGAACACAAAGGTTTACATTGAAAAAGCTGTTACTGACCCTCTTGACATTCAGTGGTTGGTCGGTGAGATACCTCAGCAAAAAGAGGGATCACTGTATGAAAAAGTTGCTTTTCCTTCTATCTATTTAACAGATTTTATTTTACACCGAATGCTAAATCTTTTCCCCTAATTGTTTTTGCAGTGACTGTGGTGTATACGTTGTGGCATTTGCAGAATATGTGAGCATTGGAGAGCTAGCGATTTCAAAGGAAGACCTTTCTGATATTGATCAACATCGTAGCTATGGAGCGCTACTTTGGGATTATGCTAGGAAAAAGCAAGAGCTTGGTGCAATTAGTGAGAGTGAGGTGACTGGCAGATTAGCAAGAAGTAAAGGTGCATCAGCTGTGAACGAGAGAACACAAGTCCGGAAGAAGAAGAATTATTTGCCCTTTTCTGTAAAAAAATTATAGTTAAATTGTTTAGTTGTAGCTGGTTTGTAGTAAAGTTGTAGACAAATTATTAACTAAGAACAAATCAGTTGAAACTTATTTGTAGCAGATTTGTGCTACAATTGTTTTACCTTTTATTTTGTTATTTTGTCCAGGAAACTACTACTTAGAATCGAAAACACTAGGGAGAGCCTTTTTGGTTCAAAGTTGTTAGTACTTAATTCTACTACTTTTGTTTTGTGCTGTTACCTTTTGTTTCGTTATTTTTAGTATATAATTTCTTTACAACTTAACTACAATTATGAGGTGTCATTATGTATTAAGGGAGTGGACTGGGGAGAGATTGATGTCCTTAGTGTTCGGATTTGCGGATGTTCCTCATTTGATTAGTTTGTCTAAGAGTGCTGCAACACCTGCTGATCTTACAGTTGAGTTTGTGAAATTGGGAATGTCGTTCCCATTCTCTTACTGTTGCTTTGATGAATCCACCCTAAGGCTGTTGGCTGAAGAAATGTAGTTGAACAAAACAACTACAAACCAATTGCATTAAGAGTTGAAAACATTTCATTATAGGAGACAGTCTTTATTCAATATATCAACACAATTACACTTCAACTATAATTCTCCAGAATACCTCAATACAATTTATCAAAAATTGTAGTGACTTTATCAATTTTTATTTCCTTTTGGGAGCATTCTTACAAGATCTTTTGTTATGCCCTTCTAGTACGCAGTTGCCATATGAAACCTTGTACTTCTTTGCATTTACTTAATCATATGGTTTGTATCTTTGTTTTTGAGGTCTCCCTGGCTGTCTTTTCCCAGTAGGTGGCTTTACAACTTCTTCAGCTATATGTTGTGGCACATTCCATTTACTTTCGTCAGGCAGCGGGTCTACTGGTATTTCATAAGTATGCAAACGGCTCTCCCTCGTGTAATAAGGAGAATAATAGTTTTCATAAGACTCATTCCTGTGCCTCAAAGCCGCCAAAGCATGCTCACAAGGAATTTCATCAAGCTGGAATTGTCCACAATTATATCTCTTGTTTTGAAGACAAACAATAAAGCCCTTCACACCATCTATTATTGTATGGATGTGTTATGTGGGAGGCCTCACTTACAATGTCATTACAAACACATAACAAGCTGTCGACAACATGTACAAAATAACTACAATTATACAACAATTTATCTACAATTAACAGTATATATTTAGTTTGATGGAATCATTGATCTGATGTTACTGGATATAGATTACTCTCATCTTCTGCGATAATGTCCTGTTATCCTCCAACTCTTTGTTGTATTTTTTCTCATGGTATGTGAATGTACCCTTTGCTTTTGATAACTTTTCATTAGTCCAACTTTCAAGAAGAGTCCTCATGTACTCTAATAGTTCTACTACGGGCAGCTCTCTTGCATCTTTTGTTACCTCATTCAATGACTCTGCAATGTTTGATGTCATCGGCCACGTTCTGTTCACTATAGCATATACCCGAGACCATCTGTGATAGCCAATATCGTATAGATATGCTTTAACACGCGTGTCGATCTCTTCAATCTCTGACATTCTTTCATTAAATTCATCAATTGTGTATGATCATGCCGTAGCAAAGTACAATTCGCTTAACTTTAGATGACCCTTCTTGAACTTTGACCTTACATATGTCCAAATATGCCACATGCAAGCATAATGTGGCATGCCGGTATAAATAGTAGATGTTGCCTTCAAGATACTTGATCGGTTCCAAGCCTCTACCACTATCGAGTGGCAAGGATGGTCGATGCAGTTTTACCCAACAAAGGTCGGGATCGATTTCCACAGGGAGTTAATTGATTTGGAGTTAGGTATCTAACTAAATTAGATGTGCGTGTTGTTCCAAATTGCACCTCCAAACATGATCATGATTGATTATACTTCTAATGCTATACTACAATATGCTAAAATAGGCTAAGTACACTATTTTTGTTAGTTGTTTTCAAGGATTAAAATGGGTTAGGGCAGTGACTTTCGCCTAGGTGGATATCTGACGGGTATCGATAATTCAGGGCAAACTTGTTATGATTGGTGTCGTGATATAACCATCACACATAAGTGCTCACTCTATACCTCTCGGTAGTTTGAGTGACTTTACCCGATTTGGCTTTCTCAAGATCAAATGGGTGTTCATGCATAACAAATGATATTGGCTCAAATCGGGTATTACTATCTCCAGGTTTAACCCTTTAATTGGGGCTATCAATCTCTTGAATGCACCCCAATTCCTTGTTAGCCTAATTTTCCTGGACTAAGTCCCTCTTTATCAAGAAGAGTCTAAGTCATCAAGGCACGAATCGGTGTTTGCAACCACCACTTCTACAATTAAAGCATGAATTAATCTAAATATCACTAACCCATAAACAATTAAGCCCTAAAATTCATGACCCATTAAATACCCACACTAGGGTTGGATCACAACCCTAGCTATGGGGTTTAGCTACTCATAATAACAGTAGAAGTCAAAAATGAAGATGAAATATAAGCCATAATATTCAAATACAAGATGAAAATCTAAAGATTGAAGATGAATCTACTCTAAGATTACTCAAAAAGGTAAAAACTAGCCGTTCACGTGCTCAGCAAAATATTACATACCCTAAAAATGTGAAAAAGATCTATTTATACTAGGCTGAAATTCCCGGACAAAAATGCCCCTGCGGAGGTTTTGTGGAGGCGTAATTCTGACCGCGTCCGCGCTTGAGCTACCGCGGTCGCGTAATAATGACCGCGGCCCGCGTTTCTCCATATTTGAATATGGAGTGGGACCTATTTCGCGGACGGCGTAAAACCCATCACGTCCGTGTTAGCTTAAACCGCGGCCGCGTAATTTGGATGCGGACCGCGTTCTTCAGGCAAAGCTTAACTTGCAGGGTCTCTGAACCTAGGAGTACGCCCTTAGCGAAAATACCATCGCAACCGCGCTAGATATTCCGCGGCCGCGCTTTTCCATCGCGGTCAGCGGCCATTGTTGTACCCAAAACATCCTCTCTGAATCTCACTTCCGCGGACCGCGTATTTGTGGCTGCCTCAGCGATGGTCCTTACGCGGCCGCTCTTTTCTGCCGCTGTCAGCGCTCCAGTCCAGCCTTGGATTTGTGCAATTTTGACTCCTTCATGAGTTTATTATGGCATCTTTGCCTCATTTTGACCAAACCCTACAAGAAAGCACATTAAGTCAGTTTTCGGGAATACCTTTACGCATTTTTGACCCAAAACCTAAGCAAAAGAGAGCACATATTAGGTTAAAATCTATAGTTATCAACTCCCCCAAACTTAAGCTTTTGCTTGTCCTCAAGCAAACAAATTAATTCCCACCTCCAAAAGAAAAAGAAAGGAAAACTTCAGCTGTCCTAAGGTGAATTCATCAAGCATCAATTGGGACTAATAATTACCCTCAACACAAATGCATTATCAACAACACACAACCTTTTGAGTACCATAGTTCTAGTGCGACACAAGAGCATCAAGAGTTGACTTAACTCACCAAGGAATCTCGCTCTACTACGTAGGCCATTGTGGAACCCAAACTCTTCCTCCTCTACTCTCCATAAGCAAATCTTACTTTAGATTGTAGCACTCAAAACAAGGATTGTAGACAAGTACGCTCATCTCTCTCAGGGGAATGTCACAAGTCCGACTCTAAGTACCATAAGCTTGACCCTTATGTAAATTACCACTAATGTAAGCTCACTCAACTAGAAATCATATAGGGCTTTTACGGGAATGTAATGAAGGCTTTTGGTTCAAGGTATGATATATCGGTCTATGATGGTTTCATATTTCCTTAAGCACTTCATTTTCTCATTTCGGCTCATACTTTCTTGACTCTTTGAGTCATTTCTTCTTCCTTAGGGGACTAGAGAGACACAATGTCACTCTTTCTTGTTATGACAATCATTTTTCTCTTTTTCTAATCATTCACAGCCTTTCATTATTGCTTTCATTGAATCCCTTCATTTTTCTATACTATTCACTTTCTTTTTGACTTTTTGGCTTTTCTTTCCTTTCTTTTTTTTCTTTTCTTCATTTTGTACCTTTTATCACTTTCACATTCATCGTCTCTCCCCCCAAACTTATGCTTTTGCCAATTGTGCTAAGGAAAGATCGGGTTCCAAGAGAGGATCATTATAGAACGGATAAAGGCTCGTATCATGGTTATTAAAAGAACTAGGGCTTCGGCTCAACGGGGTTGACTAGGGATATTATATTTGGTGGGCTATGGATGCTTTCAAGTTTCAAGTTGGATAAAGGAGAGACTATATTCATTTCTCAAGTCGAGCTACACTTAGAATTTCGCCTAGACAAACATTCGGGGCAACTTCTAGACTTATTGGCACGGGACTTGGACTTGCAAATCAATACCTCACCTCACTAGTTGTTGGATTGCTAAACAGAATAGAGTCGAGGGCTCACAACAACCCTAGCTAAGATTGAGCAACACAAATCGCTTCAATAAGCCACTTGATGATTGTTTAGTCAACACAAGAGTCTAACAGTCACAACTAGAGCCATTCTTTGCAAATCAACTTGTTTCTAACCATAAGGTCAAAGGTAAATGTGCTAGGCCCAAGTGAAGCTTGCCTGAGACACTTTTATTCATTACTATTATTTACACACAAAATAATATAAAGAAAACAGACTCAAACCCTTAAGAAGGTTGTCACGCCATCCATCATCGGGAAGAGCCACCCAGTTCACACAACCTCCACCTTTGGAAAGAACTATGGCATTAAGAAAACCAAAGGCTTATTGATCACGAAGCTAAGAACTCAAAAGAAAGAAGCTACTAAAGGAAGTAAAAAGCTAAGCTATTAAGGAAAAAGATCACAAGAAGTTATAAAGTGAACTACGGAAAGTAAAATGAATGTATAAAATAATGGAAAGAAACGAATATATATAAAATGGGACTGAATATATACATGGAATGGTAAAGTTATATGCATACCAAAAGTGAAAAATAACGAAAGTAAAAAATAACGATAAATAAAAATAAAGAAAAATAGTATCATAATTATTACATGCCAGTTATCAAATCAAAATAGGACCACCCCCCCCCCCCAAATAAAAGCTACCATTGTCCCCAATGCTAAAAGCAAAAATAAGATCAGGGAAGGGATAGAGAGTAAAGAACTCCCTATATGGTCTGCATCGGGTTCTGCACATCAGTGGGGTCCTCGGACTGTATAGTATCAGCAGGTCCCACTTGGTCCTCTAACTGGATCTCCAAATCTGAATGGGGGACCACGGGGTTGCGGAGCATCTGAATCATCTTTGTAGCAGCCTGTGTAGTGGTAGTTGGCTCCTCAGACTGGCCAGCTGTTGGTGCCTCATGCTCTGCTACCTGTGCTGCTGTGACATGCTCCTCCAAGAGCAAATCCAATGGAATATCACCAGCTGATGTGAACCTCTGTATATCATGCCTAAGCTGCTGCACTGATTCCTTTGAAGCTCGAGTCTTCTTCATCTTCTTGACCTGCTTGCCCAGGTCCTTTATAGCTTTTCCCTGAGTATCCAAAGTGGCCATGATAAGCTTTTGGTTGTCCAGGAGATTCTTCTAGTTGTCCATAAGCTCCTTCAACGATTCCTCCACTGATAATAGCACCTGAGGCTGTGTTGGAGCTGACTGAGCTGCTACTGCAATGGATAAGACAGACAGCTTTGAAGTAGCTGCCTGTATCCAGTTGTTGATACTGGATAGAGTCTGAGAAAATCGCAGTGCAGTCTGGGGGTAGGCAGAAGAAGTTGGCACAGACAATGGCTCGGTGATGGATGGCCCGGATGAAGGAAGATGTACGGTAGCTGAGGATCCCCATGCTGTGGATGGCTCTGACCCGGCGGCCACTACCCCTGGCTCTTCAGACTGGCCAGTGGGGGTAGCAGCTTTACCCTTTGCTTTAAGGTTGTCCGGTCCTTTGGTGCTGTACCATGAGAAGGGTTGCTTTGGCTTTGTCTTAGTGTCATAATTCTTCTTCTCAACTCCCTGGTCCTCAAAGTACATGGTGAGGAAATTGGGGTAGGGGTATGATCTTTCATCCTTCCCAACTGCCTCTGTGATGTTGTAATGCATAAGGTTCCCCACATTGATGGGATACCCCGCCATGATGGAAGCTATCAAGATGCACCGGGTGAGTAGAGGGACAGCACCATGCTGACACGGATCCAGCCGGCTGCAAACAAAGGTGGACCACCCTTTAGCTCACATTTGAGGGTGTTTCTGGCTATTGGGAACCCTGCTGTGAGCCATGCCGGTGTCGTCCTGGGAGCTAATATTTCCGCCACCCATGGCCGGGCTGCCTCACCAAGTGCCAGCTTTTCCAAATATTGCACAGCTTCCACATTCTCGAAACCGGCATACTCATTAAATGTCTGTCCATCAAATCGGATCCTCAGATTCCGGACCTTTGTCACCGTGGTGCCCTTTTTGATGTGGGCCATGTTTGTGTGGAATTATTTGATAAGAAATTCATTGGCATCCGGAACTTTGCTGGTGAACCATTTCCACCCTACTCTCTCCTCAAATTGCTTTTTGAC